ACGGCTCGAGTCCAGACCCCGAGGCGGGGCACCCCGAGCCCTGCTCTAAAGTAGTGCCTGCAGTGATTTGCTCAAGGTGAGGAACAAGAAGGTTGCAGCCCTGGGTTTCCATGGGGCGAGGGGGAAGCCCCGGGGAGTTGGGCAGCTGGGGAGGGTGGTTAGAGTCCTGGGCAGGCCCTGCCGGAAGTGTCTCTCCCCGAGGTGCCCGAGGGGACCTGCTGCCCCAGAATCCCATCGGGCCCACAGTGGGGAGAAGCCCCATTCTCTTCCATTAATTCCCACTTTTTACTTAGCTAATGTGAGTGGGATTGCTGTCAAATACAGTCAGAACATTTTTTGACTATTGCAAATATAAGCACACCAAAACGATTTTAAAAATCTTATTTTTATATATGTCTCTAATTCATAATGAGAAAACGACAGAATGTGAACAGCTCAAGTTTCAGGACATCTAAAGCGTTATCTATTAAGAAATCACTGTGCTATATATAACTTGTGGTTACTATGACCTAATGACGTTAAGAAATTGTTCAAGAAAAGGAAATGAATTTCAGAGGTTTTTTTAAAAGAGTGGGACAAATTTATGAGAAATACATGCTTTATTGAGAGAAAATGATGATTTTTAGTATCAGTTTTGCTGTTTTCCCTTGCAAGTCTGACTTGAAATTTTAAACTTAAAAAGGATGAATGTACGTATAAGTTTTCCAGCAATAAAAGATACATAATATAGTACAAAGTAATGAAATCCTTTGAGAATTCTTTACTATTGAATAACACAATACTGTTGTACTCTGGATTTAATGATGTTTCCTGTTGCTCTTTTAGAGTGAAATATGAACAAAGGTTTAACTCTAACATTCTTTTTTTTTTTTTTTGAGATAAGGTCTCACTATGTAGGCTGACCTCAAACTCACGGAATCCTCCTGCCTCAGCCTCCTAAGTGCTGTGATTTATAGGCATGTGCCACCATGCCTGGCTAACTGTTAATATTCTGAACCATTCTTTTATCTAACAACTGATTAGTGTTAATTTTAGGAGGCAATCTCAGCAAGATATAAGGTTCCTATAAACAAGGCCACAGCCAAGTGCTGCATAAGAAGTATGTAAAGTATAAAGACATCTGAAAAAGACACATTAAATTTATCCTTCAAGGTTAATCTTTTTTTTTTTGGTTTTTGTTTTTCTCCAGTACCGGGAACCGAACTCACGACCTTGCGCTTGCCAGGCAGGCGCTTTGCCGCTGAGCTAAATCCCCAGCCCCTCCTCCAAGGTTAATCTTATCAAGTAAGAAAGCAGTCCTTTGAAAACCTAGTTTATACTCCGAACTGCATTTTCACATGCTCATACATGAGTATTTTTATTTCAATAATGTGAAGAAAATGCAGCTCACAGGGAAGCGTGTTAGAAGTGAAGGGGGGGTATTTTGAGGTGGAATCGATGAGGGAGTATTGCGTCTTTGGTTATAGTACAATTTTTTAAAACATTTTAAGCGTTCACTGTATTTTACTATCACACTTCGTAGTTACATAGGCTATAAACAAGTGTCGTTCTTGAGATCTACTTAACGCAATGTTTTCCGTAGTTTTGTGCTTTCGCTGGTGGTTGTACTGGTCAGAATGGCCCCAAGTTCAGCCTGCAGTGCTGTCTGGCGGCTCTGGGTCCAAGAGCATAGGACGGACCTCACAGAGGAAGGGTGTGGGTGAGGCAGGCTCCACCCAGACAAGGACTGCGGAGCTGCTGTTCACTGTTAAGGCATCGCAGGGCACACCATACAGTCTGTCTTTAGGAGCACAGGAGGCAAGGCGGTGTGTTCACTGGCTGATGAACCTATGAACAGAGGCTCAGCACAAAAAAAAATTTTTTTGGAGACAAGGTCTCACTACGTAGAATTCAAGGCTGGCCCTGAGCTTGCTTGTGTAGCCCAGGCTGGCCTCAAACTCATGGCCATCCTCCTGCCAGAAAAAATGTTTTAAACAACTAATCAATTGGACTCAAAATTAAAAAATAAAACTTTTGTCCTCAAAAGACACTGTTCAGCAAATCAAAACCCAAGCTACAGAAGAGCAGAAAATATTTGCACAATACACACCTTGTTTCCAAGGACTGGTTTCCAATATATATGTATGTGTGTGTGTACGCAGGCTTTGTATACAAGGAAGACTGAGAAATTATGTTTAAATAATTTCTTCTTCTTCTTCTTCTTCTTCTTCTTCTTCTTCTTCTTCTTCTTCTTCTTCTTCTTCTTCTTCT